AATTTCTACAGAGTCTGCACTGTCTGCTGGACATTGGCCCACAGATCTTTCAGGAGATCATCCACATCTAGTCCATGAAGTGAGAGCAAGCATATCTAGGACTGGGACAAGTACCTAGGTGAAGATCTAAGGTGCTGTGGAAAAGCCAAAAGGGAAGGGCAACAAATGCATTTATTTTTAGATGTGGCAACGCAACATTATGTTGCGTGCCCACAGCAAACGGCAGAAAGCACTGTGTGGCACCAAATTCAAGAAGCCAGCAGTCCATGGCTATAAAACATTGTTTAAAAGTCCAATGCAGCAAATACAGTGCACTTGATAGTCCAGTGCAAATCCAATGCACACTATATCCATGGGGTGCTAAGGTGAAATGCCAGATGGCATCATAACAGCAAACATCAAAGTTCACATATACTGTATATCACAAGGGTGCGGAATTTTATCGCACGGCGCCTGGGACATACAGTTTTGGGCTCCCAGCAGGTATTTTTTTTCTACATTTAGCCCTGCTTCGGGCTAGCAGAGTAAATGTAGAGCAGGTGAGCGGCCGCTCATTCAGTACAAGTGATCTCAGATCACTTGAATAAAATGAGCAGACATCTTGTCCTTAAATTTCCACACCCCTGATATGATCACTGTGATGGTGATATGTGTTTGAAACCCTTTAACAGTGTTGCAGCACATGCTCTGCAATTGGTGCAATGGGGAACTTAGAGCAGGATGTTTGGGACAAACCCCCTCCTGGTTTCCCCCATTACTGTGGGCATATCCACAGGAAGGGGGGAGAGGGGGGGGGCGTGGAGTGGTCTGCAGGGACAGGGCTCAACCGGCAGGTGGACTAAAGCCCTGGACCTATATAGCACCCTGTGGCACCACGTGACAAGGCATGTTAAAGTTAAGCTTCTGTCAGTACAGAGAAAACATCACCTAAGAACACCAGCAGAAAAAAAAACTAGGCTTGTTGGGAGAGGAAAGGGTTAAATAGAGGCTGTCCCTGCAGCTCTTTTTTTGCCAGTGTCCACTCATTTGAAGGTAGCTGCATATAACCAAGGTTAAAGACTAAGAATCCCCCCCACTCTTGCAAATACCCAAAGATTCATGGAATGGGGGGAAATCTGCCTTCCTCCCAGCAGTGCTAAGGCTTGAGTGGCAGGTCACTTATGGTGGCAAAGGCAGTGACCACAACCCTGAGTAATGGTGACCATATATGTAGCGATTTGTAATCATTCTGAGTAAAAGGGAGCAAGTGATTAATCATTGATTAAAACATTGCACAATGCAACAGACAAGGAAATGTGTCAACCTAAATGGGCAAAAAGAAGTTAAACATTTATGTTAAAGTGTGGCCAAAAATTGTTAAGTACTGGTCTGCCTTCTTTGGGCACATGGAGAACAGTGTTTCTCCAGCATTTGTTTTTCAAGTGATCACATCTGACAACAGTAATCGCCTGCTGCAAAGTCTGTCAAGTTCTCAGCACCTTTGCTTACCTATGGCTGTTACTTACAGCTGGTGAATTGTAACAGCAAGTAAACCGCACACATGAACAATAACACATGTGCACATTTAGGCCTTGTTCACACCAAATGCAGAGCAGATCTGCATGAGTTTCTGCACGCGCAGTGCAGCGGGTTGTGCCGCGTTTTTTATGCGTTCGGGCTGTTTTTGGGTTAAAAAAAAATTAAATAATTTTTTTTTTTAGTTTAAAATGGGCTTTCAGTGCGTTCCAGGCGTTTGCATGCGTTCCAGAGCAGGTAAAATAAAATAGGGCCTGCTGCAGTTTTCTTTCTACCTCCTCTGGAACTGAACGCTGCGATGTGAACTGGAGCTAAAAATACCATTGGAATACATTGGATGCAGTTTTGCCCCGGTCTGTAACTGCTCTGCACCTGCTCCGCACTTGGTGTGAACAAGGCCTTATGAACACACTTCAGGAAATGGTCCTGTAGGCATTGGAAAAATAGGATTTTTGTGCTCACCGTAAAATCTTTTTCTCTGCGTTCATTGAAGGACATAACGTAGCGTAGACATAATAGATCTGGAACCATAGGGTATTGTGCCACCTACAGGAGAAGCATGCTGGACAGAAAAAAAAAAAAAAAAAAGAAAAGCCCAAGGACAC